TTAGATATGACCGCCCTACCGCAGCTCCACTTCGATTAGATATTGCCAGTTCGATTAGATATTATGAGTGCCCCCCCCCCAAACTACATTTTCACCTCTAAAATATTTGCCCCGGAAATGTGCACTGGTCGAGCTCAATGGGGTCTTCGAAGGATCGTGTACCATAACGACCTTACTGAAAGCGAGTTTCGAGGGGATTTGCATAGTGGGAGCTAATGCCTCTAGAAAACTATCCAACATTGAATCGATTCACGAAATTATGTAAGAGCTTCAGGCTGAAGCAGTTACGGTAGGCCTCCTTGAGCTTGACGACGGTGACAGATGACGTCATATTCTGAAGACGGTGAGGGCAGTGAAGGAGGGCCTGCGTGTACTTATAGAGGGACATTTAGGGAATATTCTGCTGAGGAACTTCCGTCAACGACGGCAATCTCTGCGAAGAAAAAAGGGCCGAAGTGCGACATGGGCAAAATGTTTTTTGGCCCCCCGTGCATGTATTGAGCCCATGTTATTTTACCAATACCTTTGATGCACAAACATCGAAGCCATAGAGGCGGCAAGATCGCAGATGGCATTGTTGAAAATGAGCACGGAATAAGTGCTCAAATGCTTTGGAGTCTTCTTTAGTACCATATATATCAGAAGAGAATTTCCAGCAATTCCTACGGAACTTGTAACAAGGCCAAAGAAGTAGCTGGTCGGATTAACCCAACTCATTCCTGAAAAGAAGAGTGTCAGCAAAATAATAATTTCAAACAACAGGTGGGTTTATATCTGCTTGCAGAAATAAAACGGTGAAATGAATAAGGATGTTAAAAAACTGGTGTGGTATGCAGTGCCAACTATTACGTCGCCGAACTTCAACCAAACTCGAATTCTGCAGAGCCGTCGAGATGCAAAGTACAATACCGCTACTAATTTTTGTTCAATCGACGAAATGCGACGCAGTCAGTCCGTCGCAACCGTCGCCTCGCCATAACTCGTGAACAAATGGATTAGGTCATTCGAAAGTTATACCACTGGATAGCTCTGCTCACGAAGAATCCAACGGTTAGAGGACTATTGAGTTCCTCTGAATTTTTCGCTTCATTTTCATGAAATTTATCAAATTACCTGAGGCTGAGTCATTAGCGAGCGTCGCTCGCTCT